CTGTGTTGGAAGCAATAACAAGAAACATTAATAAATTTCTATTTCATTTTACGCATCTACTGGGTTTCATTTTCGAACTCTTCAGGGTTCACATCATAGTCGACGAACTTATTCGTAAGATTATGCCATTTACCAAAATAGCCAACATCAACTATATTGGCGTAAAGCTCCTCCCACGGCCACAGTTTCAAATTAGAGTCTTGTGAACTGTGTATTCTGACCTGCAATACAAGGTTTTATAGGTAATCAGCTTATACACCTACACTATCATCGTGCGTGCTTTTGACAAGCAGAGAGAGAAACCAAATGTTGTAATAATGTAACCTGTTTTGACAGAGCAGGAGTGATCTTGAAGATAGCTCCTCATCTGAAACAAATTAAGTAATGAGGGGAGTGTATCGTGATTTACCTGATGTTTTACTATGTTCTCTGTTAGGAATGAGAACCATCTGCTGCCGCCTCATACGAATCTCGTTAATAGTATCTTCATAAGTAGGATTGGTTTTATAAGCATATACTAATCCAGCGAGAACAGAACTCACGAGAACTGCAAGAGAACATGAAATGAAATTTCCGTATGAATATCTTACGTGTCTTATGTGGCTTCTCTTTGGCTTCCTTTGCGGTGTCAACGATGACCATCTTATAATCCCGTGAAACATCTTTACAGAACTGTGCAATCTTTTCACCTGCTCGTTTGAATATTCCAACTTTGGCGGTAGCAACAGCCATAGCTGTGTTCTGAACAGAAGATTCTTACACAACGAAGTACTCGGTTGTAAAATAGATTGATGGCATTGTTAAGCCAGAAAAGATGAAACTAAATCAGTATGAAGACCTCGTTTATATGAAACATCGAAATACAATGTGTAATTCCCGAAAAACAACAAATAAATAATTAGTTCATTTTCTTTCTCTTGTCAGCATTCCAGTAGAGGAAGAACTGTGCAAATATGAGTGAGTTTAATGCAGCAGCAGATCCGTATGAAATGATCAATAGGTTATCCCCAGTATCTTGGATGGAGGTGAACACTCTAGCAATGGTTCCTGAACAGAAGAAAATCAGTTGAGAACATAGTTACAGACTGCACCTGCGAATTGTAAAAAGGCGGAAATCAAGGAGAGTTGACCAGTACTTTGAGCCTTATAGTTCTGATAAGCTTGGATTGTCTGGAACATGATACGTATATGTATAGCACTTTCTCAAACTGACCTTTGAAACAAACACGATTGGAATACCTGCTGCTTGAATACCAGTAAGGACATTGAGGGGAATGTAGTTTCCAATCACAGCTACGGTCAGAGCCCAACTGGAAAATTATAAATTTGCTTTTTAATGAAGATCAATTTGAGTACGTTCCCTCGAGCTTCGAGTTTTTTTTTCTTGCGTCATGTTCTTTCTATTTTTTAATGACTATTTCATAATATGAATCATTGAAATTTCTAGCCGGCGAGAAAAAAACCTATTTGTTGAAGATCTCAACTTCATCATTAATCTCATCAACACATACAAGCATAGGAACTACCTGAGAGCGAGGAAAGAGAAAGCGTAGGCGCTAGCATCGGAATAATAAAGGATTTGCATGATAACAATAACCAGTTGAATAGCGACAAAGAAGGAATCTCCCCATTGGCTGAAAACTTAGATTTGAGTTGATCAGTTATGCCTTGAGCACTCACCTGAAGACAAATCCTTTGCTATAGCTATAAGCAGCAGTTCCGAAAGCACCAACCAAAGCAAGCAATTGAGAGAACAGTGAGATGCCCTAAGAACATGATGCAAATCTCGATAAGAGCCAAGTTACGCTACCTTAGCGCTTTTTGAAGCATGAATCTTCAATATCTGAGGTACGAAGAGGAGAATTGATCCTGCAACAATGCCTAATCCTAACAGTCTGCTCAACACCATTGATGGACATTTTGCTGGAATGTGCTGATTAATATTTTGTGACACAATTAGCTTGACTCACGATGAAAGATATTGAAGTTGATTAAAAGTTCCTCGAAACAGTTATCAGGGAATACGAAGAGAACTGCATCTTCGAAACGCTTCTTGAGAAGTTCAGCTGCCATCCTTCAAAAAACAATATTAGAACAAAGCTAAAAGAGCCACGTCATGTAATAATGCCAGTTTTGGAGTTTTGCCCAGCTGATAACACCGGTAACGCGATACCACAATTACAATTAATTAAATAAAATGAATGTTTTAACATCGACAATGAGGCAAGTGCAAAGGCAAACGTTTTATTAATATATTTATACATTCATATCTTCAATTGGCGATTGCGTACTTGAATGACAATAATTACAATATCTTATGTATAAAACTTTTAAAGCTTATAAAATGTGGGCAAAACAGTTCTAGGTCATCTACGTTAGTGGGAGTTACCATTCATTTCAGTGATTCTCAAAAAAAAAGGTTTTCTATGGTCTACAGGAATGTCTTTGAAACATAACCCGTTACAAAATCCTAACTTGGATTCCAATTTGGAATAAATAAACAGATCAGTGTATGAATTCCTATATATATAAGGCTCTAAACTATCTATAACTGGACTAGAAATCTAAGGCGTACAATTACTGCCATGATTAAATAAAAAATAGGTTACAAGAGCTCCTAATGTTGCAAAAAAAGGTTGCAAGATAGAAAAATAAAAAAAATGTTTAAAGTGAATAGTGAGTACTACTCATGATCCAGTGGAAACACCAAAAACTTCCAATTGATCAATGAAAAACGTTCTTTCTTCCACTAAAGCTGGACTACCAAAAGTTTGTGATCCTGAGGTGATACCCTGTGTAAGTTCGTCTACGATACGTATAGCATCACCATCTCCAGATCCAATCTGTAAAGAGGAAAAAATTAAAACATTTTGATAGTATAAAAACGAGAGCGAAAGATGAATGCAAGTCTTTTGTTCTTATGAATAGAACGTAAAGATTCAACACATGATACATTGAAACTCGACTTCTTAGGAGCGAGGTGTGAGAATGCAACTATTCGATGCCTGGCTGAATGAATGCAACCATTCGGTGCTTGTTAAAATGAATGCAACCATTCGGTGCTTGTTAAAACGAATGCAACCACTCGGTGCTATTTGAAAAGGATACAAACGTTCTAAAGACTATCTATCAGCTGTAATCAACTGCTAAGCCTTGTTCTAAACTACGTTCTGATAGCATATAAAAAGTGAAATCGGAAATGACAAAATCTAAAAGTTCAACAGTCACTTGCATTCGAAATAATAGTGCACAGCTATGTTGAGACAGCATGTAAGGAAAAGAATGGGTTTTCAAAGCAATGTTATCATTCCTCGATAAACTGACTTACCACAAGCATTTTATCATTAGCAGCCATGAACATTTGAGGACAAGAGTCAGCATGATCGTTATTATTTCCTACCCATCCGTATATTACAGGTTCATCTTCAGATTCGAGGCGCCAAACAAATGACTCGCCAGTTCCGAAGTATCTTAACATTATTTTTATAAAGCATCACTAATTTAAACATACTTTGACTTAGTGCGTTCCCTTCTATCATTACGTTCCGCCCAGGACGAGCTACAATAAGCTCCGAAAACTTCTCCATTTAGTGTCCGTATTATAATTAAAGATTGATCCGCTTCATCAACTCTTAAAATAATCAAAACAATGATAAGACAAAAGAGAAATAAAACCTATGCCACAAGTTAGTAAAACTAGCACCATCATCACTTAATCTGAACAGTAAATGTGGTGTGATCAGTTGAAGGCGTAATGGAAGATTAGTAATGAGTATAGCAGCCACTTCTAAACATGAATACAAATAAATGAGGAAAACATGTTCATGTTCATACCGCTGTTGACAATTTTCGATTCGAAAGCACGCACCACTAGATCACGGGTAGCTCTTCCCACTCTACTAGCCTTTTTCAAAGACTGTTGGTGGTTAACCTGATCACGCAGCTGAAAAAAGTAAATAAAATGACCGAATCCTTGACAAAAAAAACCTTGTCCTCAAAATCTTTTTGGAATGCCGATATTTTCGAACTCTGAAGATTTCGAATTCTCACACAAGTTTCAATGAAAGTTTCAGTGCTCAACTGCAACATAAGATAAGAATAAATATAAACAATAAACACAAAGTGTCACCTGTAATTGTTGTGCAGTACTAGCTATCTCACGTTTCACTAATTCAACTCTTTCTCCTTGTGATTTGCCGGAAAGATCCGTTGTGTCATGCTGAAAACGTACGAGATGAAATAAAGGAAAGCTGAACGTTCTCACCTTGAAAGACTTAGACCAAATATATACAATTGCAATTCCTGCCCTGGTTATGAACTTATGTCCCTCTACCAGGAAACAGTCAATTATTCTTACTACATGTGACAAAGGAAGACCTTGAAATATCCAAGACAACCAATCTCTCATCTGAAAAAATGCAATGAAAGGAGCTCAAACCAAAAAGTAAATACAGTTTGAACGAGAACAGAATCATCCGACGTTCCGCATCTTCGTTTCAGTAGAACATAAGATTGTGGTTTGTGTTTTTTGATTAAAGCTAAAATTGTGTGAGCTGAAGCCACCCATTCAACTGGTGAAGTCATTAAGTAACCCTGGAATAGAAGAAACTAAGAGAGAGATAAATATCGCTCTTATGCTACGAGTCATGCATCATGCACCGTGCATACTTTTTTAAACCAATAAAATACTCACCTTGTGAGCTAAAAGCTGATGAATGCAAGCAAACACATCCGCGTCTTCCAAATAATGCAACATAATCGCACATATTGGGTAAAGAATCTGAAAATCATGGTAAACAATTCGTTCAAGACTTCATTCTCACAGGTGCAGAACTGATTTCCGGACGCATGCTTTCGATGATTTTGAGCAGTCTCAGGAGGCGAATCGATCCTTGTTCATTCAAATCGAAATTGTTTATGACTACCCCATCTTCACTGAGGAACTGTGGCTTGCTAGTTTTCTCTAAAATCAAGAAGGATTAGCAATTTCGTTGTTCTCTAATACCCTTCACACATAGTTAAGAGTACGGTGAACGCACGACTAGAAGCTAGCTTGAAGCTTGATCAAATATGATAACAAACAAACAAGACAGTCAAGAAGAGCTTTACGTGACACACTCATCACTTATTGAAATTTTCAAAAGTTTTACAACGCAACAAATATAAAGTTAGAACTCAACTTACTTCCTCCTCTCAGTAACTCCTCCAGTTGGCCTCGGAAAACAGATCTACTGCTATCAAAATCTTTTCCTTTGCATAACTCTTTCCAGAGTTCACGTCGAACTTCATGTCTGGGGGGCCAATCAGCTTTCCTAACAATTTTTTTGACCTGTAATTTTATAATGAGAGTAAGATGATATTGGTTCGAAAATAGTGGGTTTTATCGCAACATTCACGTACATCTGATATGAATAAATTATCTTGCCAATAGTCGCAGGCAAAGGAATCTTCAGAGTAGCCAGAATCCGACGATGCTACATCGGAGTCGAAACTTGATGAATGGTCAAACAGGTGTGCTCGATTGACATCCATGGCAACTTCAAACCCAAATCTTACTATCACAATTTTAGAAAATCAATGAGGGGTCCTTTAAAGAAACAAGGCCAAGGTCCAGGTGGGATATAAACTAGAGGTAACGGCGAGAAAAGGAGATATGAATGACAGCGCGAACGTAACCGTGTACGGTAAACAAAAGAGGTGGAACCGTTAGCTTAAGAAACGGAAGCTAGAACTAGGAAGAAAGAGAAAACCGGAAATAACAAGTGAACTTTTCAGGTCAAGAATGATATAGCAAACATACATAAATTCCGTCGCGACTAGATCACAGGCTTTAAAGTATATACTGCACAACTCGAAAAGAAATCGAAAACTGTTGAATATTCAACACTGTCACTACGAAGTAGGAGAGAATACAAATTGACACGAACTTCCGATGCAACACAGATGGTCTGAGCTTACAGTTCTAACATTATGAATCGCATAGAGCACAGAACAGTTAGGGCAGTTTCCTACGAAAGTAATCGACAATTTAGAGAAAAATAAGATCAGGGTGGGAGCAAAACTAGCAGCAAGAACTGAATCAAGACAGCTTGTGCAACATGCAATGCTCAATAGATCGCAAACAGGAATGAACTCATATTTGCCTAATAATAAAGAAGACCCTCTGTCATACCATAGTATGTCTCATTTCATTCGCAAAATTTTGAAGTAAAAGAAGATGTGCGATGCAACCTTATACCAAATATGATTTTCATATTTTGCTAATACTAGACGTCAGATGACTCAAAAGGAATCATCGACCATAAGACCATTCGTCAATAGTGAGTAATTGAAAAAATTTGAAAAAAAAAGAAATAAAAATACCTTATCAACTCTATTAATACGGAGGTTCTCCTTAATTTCATCAAGCCTAGATGGTATGCCAGAAGCGGCTACCGCCAAATTACTATTACTACTGAATGGTGGGCCAGATTCCTGTAAAAGAATTATTGAACATGTATGAGATGTAATTTTTATCATGCACACTACTCACAAATAGCATTTATATTAAAAAACAAAAAATACTACATGGAGCTTACCATTCCTCTCTTTTCGAAGACTCTGAAGTAAGTTCAAATGAGAAGACAATTTATTGGAAATTTTAAAGCACTGGGAAGCTTTTAGGCATAGGGTCAGAATCAATATCTCTCAGCCTATGCGGTACCCGTAAGCTTAGCAGCCAACTATTCGATACTGCAGCATATACATAATAAGCTCAGCTGGTTGCTAACCAAAATCTCCAGTTGCGGCTGCACAAATTCCGAGTGCACAAAGATCTTACACAATATTACTCTAATTTACTATCAGTTGGCGCAAAATACTTTACACTATGCGAAAAGGTTAAATTAAAGTTTGGCTCTAAATACACTTCCTTCCTACTTGAATTTCTTTCCAGAATAAATTTTCAAATATAATATTCAGCTATTTACCTTTTTGTGACTTTCCTTTTTGGCTACAAAAGATTCTTGACTCTGTCGGGAGCGAGATGGCAACCGAATAGACCTTCTGATAGCGGCCGACAATCGTCTAAAAAATGAGAAATATAAAAATGAATTATGAAAATGCTGTCGCAGATAAGGGCAAAGTAATCACAATGAAAAAGAGACCGACCGGCTCGTTGGGAAAAAAATGGAGAAAATGAAAACGGCATTTCACGTGAAGTTTCACGTAAATTCCCAGTAGTTCATACGTGAGGATGAAAAGCATACGTAAAGCTACTCACGCGAACGATCCACCAGTTCGGGTATATCCTCTTTTAAAAATAGGCTCGGGATTCTCGTCAAACGAGTCGTCGTCTTCAGCTGCCTCCAGAGAATTCATACTGGCCGAATCTGTACCCTACCTGAAAGCTACATACGGTCTTGTTTCAAATGCAGAATGCTAAGTTTTTATTTTTTCACTCGTAGAGTAACGAAAAGCAAGAAAAAAATCGTATTTGATAACGAATATAAAAAAAAAGACTAAAATTAGAAATGACAATCACAAAAAAAGGATTTTCAAACTCATGACTGTTTCATTCTTTGAACTAAACGTCCAACGCGCTTAATCAATTCATAGAACCGCAATAGTAACTGTCGCTTTCGATTTATTGACGATGATCACTTAAAGTGTGACATAATTACCTTAACCGACAGTCAAGGCAAGTAGAACAAAAGTGATGGATAAAACAAAATGCAATTAAGTAACACTAATTGAACCAAAATATCGTAAATTTGAATCAGCCTGGAAACCTAAGGAGAAGATAACCTGATATTAACATTTCGATAACATTGAAGATGGGGCAATTGATAATAATTTTATCTGCGCAGACAAGATCAAATCAATAGGCCTGGAAAATATTCGGTTTCACGAGGAAATACGTACATCACAGTAGATGATAACAGTCGAATACAATGTACCAGCAGTCATCTGGTTTGAAGCGAAAGAAAACGAGAGATACACTAGACACACAGCAACTACTTTCTATATCATCCACCAATCATGGCCAATCAAAATTTGTAAGAGAGAATGAGAAGTAACAATTCGTGATAATTTACGGGCTGGCCAAAGCCAAACCTTCAAAGAATTTTCAGAGCAATTTTCATATCAAACCAATAAAAACCAATAATCTCTCACAAAGATTCGCACACTATTTTTACCGCACCGAAACATGAAGCGCCTTTAAATCATTGAGAGCATTATGCAGTGGGCAACGGGTCACAAATTGTTTCGACAACCAAACATGATAAGAAATGTAACAGCGATAAAAGAGGCTGGAAATTTAATCCAAATGCTACTGGAAAATAAACAAGCTCGAAATAATTTGAAGAAAGTGCGCAAAATCATAATACAGATAGAAGATGAAGTTCATCTTCTTATGTGTTGCATCGTTTTTCGTATTAATAAACACAGTTACCTCAAAAACACAGGATCCGTCAAATATTTACAATCAAGCATAGAAGCACTATGTTAGAGAAATATATTTTAACCTATAAACATTAAACAAATGTTTATATTCACCATTTTTCACATTGAATCTAATACCGTACATATATTCGACGTCGCAATGCAAAGTATGTACGCAAGGATCGCGCATTCAAAGCTTTCACTCAAACGCGATGGCGCACGAATTCTCGGAAAAAGAATCAGTTTCAGGAAATTTTTACATATCTTCAACCGTTTCAAATGACTGATATTGAATCAACATCTGCGGATGTTGTTTCTGAAGCTGTGAATAGGCTATGTGAGATACAGTTGAGTGCTAGCAGGTATTTCATGCGTGTCAACCAAACGTTTCATGAGATGTTGAAGGGTTCAAAATCAAAAACGGGCTTTAGTATGTCTAGATGAGCGGAGACAGAAATTGAGAGAAGCAGAAAGAATTTTGCAAAAAAGTAAGATACAGGTATGACAGCCACATTCATAAACTGTAATAAATCGTGATGTTTAGGGTCCGAACACATGGGTTTGCCTTGGACCGACCACATTCATTCAGTTTCCCACGACAATGGCAGCCGGTTTTCTTGCTAAGGATCGAAAAGTTGTTGAAGATACATTATCAGAAACACAAGCTGACATTCACAAAAGCGTAGATGACTTGTTACAGGCAGAAGGTAATAAAACCTTGAAGGAGCGTGGCTTCGATCTCAATTCCATTTTAAAAACCATTGAAGAATGACGTTGTTGATTTTGTTATAAACTTTTTTTTTCTCGCTTCGTTCTCGTTATCACTATTGGTTACTGACCAAGTATATCTTTGTTCGTTTGTACAACGGTCTTCATCATTTTTCTAGAATGTCAATTCAACAAGTTTTTGTAATTAGTCGAGCCGGGAGTTTAATTTACGACTGGGAACTGAAAGCTGAAGCGGTTAGCTTTGTTTTAATTTTATGTATTCAAATCCTGATTGTTAAGATCGAAATTGAAAAACTCTTCGAATATCCACTGGGAATAATATTGGAGGAGATAGATTCAAAAGCCGTGGTCGCGTTTGGTGAGCGTGATGGTATTAAGCTAAGGTAGTATGCCATCCGCGTGACTTCAATAAAAAATATTCTTAGATATCATGTCTCGGCTATAAATGGTTGCCCTGTGATGGGAACGAGGTTCACTACAGAAGACACCAAAGAGGAGAAGAATGTCCTTATACATGTGGAGGATGCCAAAAACTACCCAGTACTTTGATCTTCTCGAGATAACAAGTTCTAACTTGAGCAAATTCAGATGACTATCAAGTTTTCTGCACCCTCAATCACAACAAATGAGAAGATCATATTGTCGTCCATGTTCCATTCTCTCTTTACCATTGCTGTTCAACTCAGTCCCGTTAATAAAAGCTCAGGAATCGAGGTTAGTTAGCATGTAATCCATGTATCTTACGAACTACATCCAGGTACTAGAAACCTCTCATTTCCGTCTATGCTGTTTACAAAGTAGAACCGGTAAGATCCCCGCCACTAACCTTTTTATAATCTTTGATTGCAGGTGTTAAGTTTGTAATAGTGACTTTGGCAGGATCCACTGTTCCAGTAGAGTCTATTCTTAATAAGTTGTACGAACTATATTCTGACTTTGCTTTAAAGAACCCCTTCTATGCAATCGACATGCCGATCAGGTAACTGATGCTTGTGCTCCGCGTCCTAACCTTCCTGCTTTCTAGATGCCAAAAATTCGAGGATGGTCTGAAAGCTTTGTTAGAGAAAGTCGATAAAAGCACAGGTGCTGTTGCAATATGATTCTCAAATCAATGGGTAATTTGTATAAATGAACGTTCTGTGATTTCCGTATTAAGTTATTGCCTCCCGCATAAATATTTTTTTCAAAATTTGCATACTTTGCAACTGGTTCCGTAACCTCATCTACTTAGCTCGATTATGTGTTCTAAAATTTAAATGATATTTAGATGTCCGAGGCCAACTTCTCTTTTTTGAATAAAATACCTGACCAATGTGGATATCTAGTTTTTTCGGAAGGAGCCCTAATCAAGGTTTCGATACACCCCCTATTCTATTGTTCATACAGTTCTTTCAGTCAGAGGGGGAGCTAGAAAATAGAGAGTTCGTGATGTCTATCGCAGAAAAAATATTGCGCGTTCCGCGAACTGATGAGCTGCCCAAAGAGATGAAGTTTAACCAGATTACTATTCAGTTCTCCAAGCATTTCTATACAATCTCCCAGAGCGGAAAATACGTTTATATTGTGAAGAGGAGATGTGCCTAAGCTCCTACATATCCACTATTCGTTGTCTAGTTTGACATTCCTATGAAATACTAGTTTAAATATTATCTGTAGACCAGAACTCTTAAGCTTATGTGAAAATTGCGAGTCGTTGCACTAACATGAATAAAGCTTTATTCAAGAAGCCATGTAGAGATCAAATGATTAAGCGAAAAATTAGGTTCGTCAAGTGCTTTTGGTTTTAACTGTCCTGGTCTCGATTCGTGTAGTTGTTTTAACTTGGTTCTCGTAATTCTTGTCCTGAAATATGTTTTAAGTTAGTAAATTATTAATAGAAACAAACGTCATAATTATTTTTTGTTCTGTAGAAAGCAGAGAAGAGGAAAGACATGTAGAATCCACTGATCATGAAGGCGGTTATGTGGTTAGGAGAATAAATTCCCAAAACCCAGTGCCCGAAGATATTGAGTAGGAAAACAACGACTTGTGTCTGAAAACGGTGCATGAGAGTGTAACAAGTTTGAAACCTTACAATTAATCTGCTAGCAATGTAAGTTATTTGAGTGTTTGGTGAGAAGTAGCGGGCTTGGATTGAGCTCAGAGCTGGGATGAGGGATGAACAACCGAACAAACGACACCAGAGAATGTGATGGGAGTCGATAGAATATTCGGGCTTAATCTTAAAAGAAAATCCTTTTGGAGTGGAAAACGTTTAAGCTTACCACCATCTTCAGGATATGCTGGGGGAAAGCGAAATGTAACAGAGTCATTAACAGAGACAAGCCACCATCAATATAGAGTGCATTTTCCAAGTAGAAGTTACCTTTGCCCTGAGGAACAATAATATATGAGAAGGAGATCAAGTATTCATCACCTCTAGCCACAAGGTCGATCGCTTGACCATGGCATCAACTTCCTCTTGTGGTGTTCTCCTGTTCAAGAAGAATCGAATTACTTCTGAGAAAAACCACACTCCTTCGATGAGTGACGCACATACGATGAACTAAACGCACATGATCAATAAGATCAACAGAGAACGAACTCACATTATCTGTAATTAGAAGTCCACGAGTTGACTTGTTACTGAAGTTCCAAGCAGCGAAGAGCTGAGTGAATAAACAGAAGAATGAAGCCATTAGCCTGGCAAACTGTAGAGGTTGTTCAGGTTTTGCCTGTTCACTTTCAATTGCCCAGAGAAAATATGCGATTCCAATCTGAAATCATATCTGGATTTATCATAGGGAGAGATACACCTTACGTGAAAGGCTCCTTGGTACGCTTGTAAGAACTTATGGAGTACATTGAACTCGCCGTTTACCTACAACAAAAGATTGTATCTTTTCCATTGTTCCGATTGTACTCACCGTGACACCCAGAAAGTAGGAGGAGCAGAACAGATATAAGAGTCCAAGAGTAATATGAGCAGTAATTTGGCTTCGGCTTCGATATTTGACTGGGATTACAGGTAGGAAAGCCGCCAAAAAGAAAATGGCTACTAGCACATGTGGAATCAACGCCAGAACCATTGCCAAGCCTGTAAATTAGCATAAGAAAATCAATAAAGAGTCGCGGAGAAGAGTAGACTTCATTTGGTTATATTAGAGCGTCAAGATCGGTAGCATTCGAATAAAAGAAGAAAGAATTGAGCTCAAGACACTAATCACTTTATGAAATATGACTTTTCACTCTTTTTTACAACAAAAAGCAAGTATAACAGATTTGCTTGTTCAGCATAAAGCTTGTAATAGAAGGATGTGCCGACGGAGAACACAAACAAGCTTCAGAAAACCAAAGTTTAGGGTGGCCAAGCACAAACAACATCAAAACTGTTTGTATTTTGTTTTCTGCTCTTGCTCGTGATGTGTTCAAATATAAGAGAACTCGAAACTAAATAAATATGGCATCTCTATAAAAAATAATTTGGCGAAAGATAGGACGGCATTACCGGGTAAGTATCGCAAAGAAGTTAAGGCTTATTCAGAACACAAGAGCAGGCGCTCGGTTGTTAGAGTGCTCCGAGTGGTCGATGAGCTTTTTCTCTTCTTTAAGCGCCATCTAGCCTGGTCAAAGTTGACCCTGCGTCACTACAGCGTCCGATCTCTATATGACAGATGGTCTAGCCCACTGAACGAGAAGCTATTATAGAGACAGCAAGAGCTGTTTAGAGAAATACCCGGCATTAATAAGAGAATCAGATTGGAACCCTTGTATTCAAAAAGCATGAGAAGAAAAAGAAAAATTCAGAATGTGCCTTTCAGGATAGAAAACAAAGAGCACTCCATTTATGAATTCTAGAAGCATGAACAGACCAAGGCTATGGAAGCATCAACAGCTTTTCACCGGCTTAAAGATGATTTACTTAATATCCGAAAACACCTACACTAACCCCCCAATTACTTGGGCATTCATTTATAGTTTGTTCATCATCTCGTTCTAGTAATAAGCCTAAAGCCAATTGTTTCTCTTAGCTCTAATAATTTCTCCCTCACCTGCAGCTATGGCTTCCTTGATCTTTAGCTCATTGCTCGACTGCCTTGTGTTGTCGTGAGGTTTAGGATGCTGTTTAACAATCTCAGGTTGTTTCTTTTTCGTTTCTGTCTTCTGAAACTGCTATCAGAAAACATTCAACAAAGGATGATCTATAACCTTTTTTTTCAAACATATCATGAGAGCGAAACAGCAAAAGGTAATGATATTGAGAAACACCAAGATGCGTATACAACCGAGTGCAAGAAACATTGCACTCAAAATAAGTTCTGAAATCTTTATTATACATTTATATCAGTACATCTTATAATATTTATAATACACATACGGATCAGACTTTAGGCATTAGAAACTGCTCATGTAGTGTTTTAATTTGATTTACACGATTAATTTTCACAAAATCATAAATAGTGTTTCCAGAGAGTAGGAACATCTCATCTAATAGTTCACGGATCGTGGCCAACTGAGCTTGCCGTTCAAGATCGGCTATGTTCTGAGGTTGATTCTCCTTATCCGAATCCATGTTGATTTCGACCTGTAATGACAAACAATTGTATAAGTATGAACGCGAAAGAATTTACCTTAACAGGTACCAGAGGGAACACAGGATTGAACCCTTGATTGACAGGCTTGAATACAGAAGTACCAACAGTAGATGTGCTCACAGGTAGAGCAGGTTCAGCACTTGTCGTAGGGACAACTGGAGTTGGTTTGACCACACTTTGGAAGCTTGTGGGTGTAGCAGACATGTTCGCAAAAGCTTGAGGAAAGTTTGGATATTTTACTCCCAAGCCGTCAGGTACAGCTGCTTCAGTGGTATTAGTTATATTAGGCACTTTTCCATGTAAAGTTAACTATAAGTATGAGTTATAACACTTGTGATCTCAAAGATATAGTACCAGATTGTTGTAGAAGTTCTGTAAGTTATCACTCGATACGTTTGGTTTAACCAGCGACGGCGAAGAATCATTGCTCTCAGAAGATTTTGTTTCTGGAGAAGATACAGATGTTTCTGTAGCTGTGAACGATCTGGAGCTCTCTCCATCTGATGGCGAAGGCTCTTTTTGACTGGCTGGAGATCCTAAGCCAAGCGAAAAGACTGAAAGCAACATCGTCATGAGTCTGAAGGTCATATGTCACGAACCTTTTCTGCTGTATCTCCGCTTTGGCTTTGAATCGTTCTTAGCCGAGAGAGGAGCTGCGGCCACAACATGCCCTGTATGAACTTGTCGAAGCTGTGATATGCGAAGAGTCTGAAAATAACACCAAAGTTAAAGAGTTATGCGATAGAAAGCTTGCCTTGTTCTTGAAATGATAACAAATTCTGAGCATAGCCTCACATCCACAAGGCAGGTAGTTCTGATTTGGTCTCGAACCGTTTCCTGAACCAATAACGAAGAGATGGTATGTTTACATCAATTGTCATACCTCTCTTTCTCGGCTGTCCATAATGAGCACATTGATACACAACGTAACGGTAATGACAAACTGAGTCAACATTTCCATCAGCATCCTTCAAAGTCTCTGAGGAAGCTACACGGAACGGATGATTGTACTGCTTTTTCCAAGCTTCGAATTCGGTTTTGAATTCCTCATAGCTTGTGAACTCAGCTTCCAGAGCGATCTTTGTTGTATTCAATGTTGATGGTTCTTCAGTTTTAACGACTACCGAATCATTCAAGATAGATGAATTCATTGATGTGTCTAGAATGTATGATAAGACACAAAAAAAAGAATTGAGGCAACCTGCTTCTGGGCTCATTTGAACATAAGTTGTGGTATCGTAAAGACTGTTGGGAATGCGCCTTCTCTTGGCTGCTGGCTCAGAAATCTTAAACAAAAACATCAGAATACAATATGAATAATGAAAAACTAACGTCTTCTTCGTTTACATCATTAACTTTCAGGTTATCACAAGTCATCTCGTGGTTACTACAGAAATTATTAAATTTTAATTAAAAAATTAGAGCTAAGAAATGAAGGTCTGCCTTTGAGTTGATGACGATGTGACTGACTACTCTAGAATGTGGTAGTTCATGTATATATCTGGCCTACTTACGATAGATGTCCTTCCCAGAATGCCAGCAGGAAGTATAACCAGAGGTGCTTGGAAGGAACGCCGACAACACCAAGTATGTGAAGTGCTGTAAAGAGTTATTTTCTATTTGTTCAGATTATATGAACATTAACTGCTGATGGCAAAAAAACATTATTCATCCAATGTCAATCATCTAACAATGGTAAAGATAACTCCTGGACAAGATCGATTAGACAAACTACAAAATTTCAACCGCCATTCAAACAAACAAATCGGTCATTTCTGATATGATTTATTAAAAATGGATGGAGCCATTTTGAATGGGGAAACTGTGTCTCTAGATTATCACTGGAGCTCAAGGAGCAGCATCCGCTGTCTCGATACCACCCACTGCTCCTAAACGTTCTGCATCGTACTCTTCTGGCTTCAGTTGGATGAATGAAACTTCCAAGTTTTCATTAATCTTCAGAAATCTCATCGAACAGTCTCTTATAGTTTCTATACCTGAACAATCGCTGCGTAGTTTCTAAGTCCGTCATGATAACGGGCAGCTGAGAAAACGGTGATCAATAATTTGTTGGCGAAGAGACTGTATCCAAACTCAACAACCTGCCAGACATCAATTTGTAGTTAGAACTGTTTTACCTGATGAGCTCTGATCATTAAATTCAAATCGAGTTCTTTACATTTTTCAGTGACTACATCTTCTCCAAAAGTGTATGACACGGAACGACAGAGGTTTGTCTGATCAGATCAGATAGTAAAGACTCTAACGTTAGGCTACCTGAAACCCTGAGATGGTTGGATCCGGATCCGACCAAAGTAAGTCTTGTGCCAAGCCTTGAACTGTATGTAGTGGTCTGTTTATACGTCTGATATCATCCAACGATTTCAACTCAGGAGATAACCCTTGATACAGAAATGAATGGAATGGAGTGATCAAATACCAACCTCCATGCATGCATAGAATTTTCGTTGATATAAGGGCTGCCAGGGGCATCAGGGCAAATACTTCATTAAACTCATCGTATAAAGCTTTAGCGTCTCCGGTCTCTCGGAAACGATCTTCACATTCCTCCCAGAAGCCATATATTCTATAAGAGTTTGGTTGCAAAAGTAAAAAGTACCAACCCCACTTGTTGATATGCTGAAGCTCGTGGTTTCCTCGTAAAAGATGAACCTTATTTGGAAACTGAATGCGACAACAGAGTAATAGGGTTATGACTTCTAAAGAGTGTCTTCCTCTGTCTACGTAATCACCGAGAAACAGAAATTTGGATTGGAAAGGCAATCCACATGCCTGTAGCTAAGGTATACCAGATACAGAACATGTGTTTACCTTGAATATACGCATCAAATCTCCATACTGCCCATGGATATCACCACAAACGTTAACTGGCCCATCCAACTAGAAAGAAAAAGAGTTCCGTCAAGCTCGAAAGAAATCGTACTTCTATGAGAGTTTCGCTACTTTGGAAAACGCTTTTTGCTTTATCGAGGATTATGAACAGATCTTTCGCCTGAAACTATTCATTCATATTACGCATTGAGTTGTGTCACCTGGTAATCCATCTGTTTAGGACCCGATAGTAGATGCTTCTTGATGAAACTCTTCAGATCAAAGTTATTTAGCTCATCTTGAGTGAAATGGCCCATTTTCTTCTTAATTACTTATTTTTCAAAGCAGCTCGGAATTCAAACTTACTGGATCGTTAATCTGAAAAGAATATGATCGATCAACTTCTTACGAAACTGTTTTTACAATCGATTCAGGTTGCGGAAGCTGTGGGTCCGCAGTAGGTGGAGAGTTTATGAACGAATTCATGTTCTTTTGAATGAAGGCTTATGAAAGGAGATAGGCGAACTGAACCAACTCCTTCAGGATGGTGAAGGGAAAAACATTTTGCGTGAAATTCCACGTGGACTCAAATTGTCATTTTCATTTTTTTCGCGGTGAGCATGGTTACTCAAGATGAGCCAGATGATCCTCTTCCACAAGAAAGGGAAATATTGAAAACTAAACGATGTTCCTATGAAGTATAATATACAAATTTCATTATAATTACCCTATGTACGTCTTCAGGTGGTTCGATTGATTGGGAAGGGAGGCTATGGAGCGGTGTTCGAGATTATTAGGAAATCGGATGGAGAGCATTTGGCTATAAAATGCGAAAAAATGACAAATAGACGAACAGTGAGTTTCTGACTATTTCTTTAATTGAGTTTCTAAATCTCACCTTAGGTACTAACAATGGAGAAGAAAGTACTGAGCGGAGCTCGGCAAATCAATAGCCTCCATTTCTGTACAATTCAAGACCGCGGTACACTACAAGACCGTTTCAAATTTGTAATCATGCAGCTTGTCCGTTCTTCCATCCTGGCCGATCTCGTTTCATATGTTTAGGTTGGTCGTAATTTGTGGGACTTGAGGATATCAACTGAAGAACTCAGGTTCAATATAGGGACTTCTCTGAAAGCTGCTACTCAGTGTCTTATTTGTATCGAACAAATCCATAGGGTTTTTCAAGTTTCTGAGTTCATATAATGTTCCATTAAGATTGGATTCCTTCATCGTGACATCAAGCCTGGAAACTTTGCTGTCGGTAGACAAGGCCAAAAAGACCTTCACACTATTTATATGCTTGACTTTGGGCTATGTCGGAAGTTCTCTGTCGTGAAGGTGAGTAACTAAATAGTTGTTGACATTTTTTGTGTAGGATAAAGATGTCCGCATGCCTCGCGATATAGTTCCTTTTCGAGGTACAACCAGATACGCACCGTTAGCCGCAATGAAACATGTTGGTTCAGTTGATTAAATCACGTTTCACTGGATTATTTAGATTGATCAATCTCGTAAGGATGATTTAGAAGGCTGGTTGTATATGGTAGTAGAATGGACTTGTGGCAGATTACCATGGAGTCAATACAAAGTAGAAAAACTCTCTTTACATGATATTACTTTCTACACTCAGACCGATAACAGAGATGAGGTGCTCAAAAAGAAGGAGGAGTTGCGGACGGACCCCAAAGCTCTTGATAAGTTTCTCAGTCGTTGTCCTAAGAGAGAGTTCATCAAGATTTTGAAAGTGAGAATCTTTAGAAAGTTGAATTACAGTGGTTATAGTACTTAGATGAACTGACTTATTTCTGTATCCCCGATTACAAATTCATTTTTGACGTCATCTTGCATGCTATGAAGGTATATGACTTGCTCACGGCTGACATTAACTCCTTTCAAGACAAACAAAGTCAGATACGCAGACCCAGTGGATTGGGATCCGAACAATGCTTACACTGCTCCTTTCGAACAGCCTGGTGAAGGAAAACCTGATTTATGGTCAGTAGATCGCAAGGTATGGATAGTTTAGAGACCGTTTAACACTCCTGTTGCTGCAGAAAGAGCAAAAAACACAAGAGGAAGTATAAAATTTATGAAATAAACAGTATGAAAGAGTAGTTTCACAGGAATTATTGAGCAGTGTTTTTTGTAAGAAAGTTTTGGAATAAAACTGTAGGCACTCGATCGTTTGGCTTATACTTATATGATGATGAATAGGAAAAGGGGGAGGCGCCTTTCATCAAGGCTTTATCTTAGGGAGTTTCAATAAGTTATTGTCTTGACTGTTATTATTGGAGTTGAAGTTTCCATTCGTGTTGTTAGAGTTATTAACATTGTTGTTGTTATTATTTCGGTCTTTTCGTAGTTGCTCAGCCTGAAATCCTGTATAGTCGCACTTGGAGTGAAGGTCAACTCACTCTTCTCGTTTCGGCAAACGGATCAGTAGACTTTGCTCTAAACTTAGCGCGAACTCTGCTTGGCAACATGTAGATTTCTACCGGACTGAAATAGAAGCATGACATGATAAGTTCATGAGCTTATATGAATGGATTTACTTTTCTTCTTGATTCGTGTCCACCTCTATTCGTCTTAATCGAGCTGAACGCACACCATAGTGGCGCAGGCTCGAATCACAGAAGGCCATCAATCTCTGCATTTTTGCCAATAAATCAACTTCATCTGGGAATTTCTTCTCCGCAATCCAAAACATGAATTGAAGGAACGCATGGAAAGGTAATCCTTGAAAAAAAAAATGAAAAATTAGCATGTTGTCCGCGAGTTGACCTACCATTAGTCAAGGTGCCTACATCACCGCTGAAAAAATAGTTTATCTCAGCCATTTTGGTTTCAATTTGCTGCGCTGTTACAACATTTATTAAGTTGCATTTCCTAAATAGTTCCTTGTTATCTGAGGGAGTGCGAATGAGTTCACCTGACAAACTGACGAATACCGCCCGCAGATATGTTTACGGTGTTTCGAATTTGAACGAATTGCATGAATATGTACATTGCTTTATCGAGAAAGAGTAAATGTCCGCTATGAGCACCATATCTTGTGGGGAAAATCTGCAAACGTTGTAAACTTCAAGAACAGCAGTAGAACTTACTTCACTGAGGTGTGGCTTTCTTTTCGTTTTCAGTGTACTCATATCGTCCTGAAACTCCGTTACGTTTTTGCCATTTTTTAATGTATGTGAACTAGAAAAAAACAACAATTTAAAAAGGGAATACAATTGAGATGTAGGAGCTTACTCTGACTGTGTTGAGTACTCTTCGTCCAGCAAGCCAAGAACCAATAATATTGTATCTTTCACGAGTGGAATTTTTATAACCTTAGAAAGCATATTATATTTGAAAATGAAATTGTAGCTTACTTCGTCAACGATACTTCGTACTCGTTGTGATCCGTCTTCGAGAGTTCTTCCAGGGGCAGGTACAATATGATCTGAACAGAGTTCTTTGTTCTTCAATCACGAGTTTGTAAGTTAACCTATAGAAAGAGAAGGAGCAGCATTGACTTCTAGAAGCACGGGAGTACCATCTTCACGAATCATAATGTCGAATCCCATGATCTGAACGAACAATTATGAGCTTGCTCACTTGCTGCAATCATAAGCTTACCTGGAAGCATTGTGGACCTTTAGCATCGTAAAAGTGGTGTTCATAGTGGAGCATTATTTCCGGGAGCATGGCCAAAACAGTCTGAACAACATAATAAAACCAACTCTATATGAGCATACCTTTATCAGGATCAACTTGATATCATGCCAAAGACGTTTAGTTTTCAATCCACGAGCTTCAAGCTGATGGAAAACAGTGGACAACAACCTCTTACTGCCTTCAATACCACTATGGTTCATATCAACACCTTTGTATCTCACCTTTCTTCTGATCTTCAAGTGAATGGCTATGTACATACTGATCATTTGATTTGTTCAGAGAATAATTTGTGAGATGGGAAAACAAATTTTCAAAGTTCGAAGATGTTGGTTTTTCATATTTTTCTGTGCAAAACCTGGCCATGCCTGGAAAGGAAGAAACACGAGCTAAATATCGGAAGTAAACAGCTTAGGGCTACCTTCTCTGGCTACATACATGGAGAGGGGGTTAATACTACGTATGACGCCATAAACTCTGAAATCGAATTTAAGAGAATCCCCCATCAAGAACGGATCTGCCACATACTCCTGAAAATCATTGCGTTACTGTTCTCACGAGGATTTTATTTTCGAACAAAAGAAAGAGTGAACCGGTCGGTTGCATTTGAAAATGAAAAGTAAGTAAGGCGAGTACCTGAACGAGTTGTTTCTCATCAGGATTCTTTATCTGGTTCGGGTGATTGATCAAGTATATACCAGTACCTTGTGCACCTGTAATGCAATTCAACATAAAAGCGTGTGACTTAGAGGGAAGGGTACCTTCATCAGGCTTAACAATAAACCACATTTCGGCGCCTTTGCCATTCTGTCGTTTGCGTGTCTCAGCTTCTTTCTTATAGAAAGACTGTAATATTCAATGTACGATAAACTAGGAGTATCTTAGTGAAACCTGGAATTCTACGTAATGAGCAGGCAGAAACCAAGACTTTGGGTAGAACGCATATTCCTTTGGGAAGATTTTCTGCATGGAAGAGATTGCATGAGTCAGTGAGATTTTCTTGGCTAGTTCGGTCATTCCTGGAAGAAAATATTTTGTATCTTTCGAGGTAATTTTCATTTGGAGAACCTGGGAACTTATTGACTCTGGAAGAGGAAGACTGAACTACACTTTTCATATCGCCGTAAACGACATTATGCCAATAAAGATCACATGGACGACCATCACTGCGTCCATTAGGAAACTTAATTTGAAAATATCATTTTAACATTCACGAAATCACCAACTTCCTGTATTCCAATTTTCCTGCTACATAAACTAACGACAGGTAAGTTAGATTTACAGCGGGAAGTATCAATGCAATAGCGATTAGTGGATGCTATCCGATTTCTATATACACGTGTGAAAGAACCGCTGAAAATGGAAAACGAGAATGTAATTGATAGATAAGCAGATAAACTTACTTAGAAATTTCACTTGGGGGACGGTTCTCCATAATAGACCCGATGGATGAGGCACGAGTCAGTGGTCTAACAGCTTGTGGCCGATAAGCCTGAAATAGAAACTGAATTGTTCGCTTCACTTGTTTCGCATGGGAAACAGCAAAAATATTTTGAACAACTAGAAGAACTTTGCTTGATAGGTTTCAACAGGAGGAAGAAAGGAACAGATTAAAAACCTGCGAAAAATGATTAAGTTTGAGAAAAGTGCTAACGAGGCCTCGCTACAAATCACTTTGTATGTGACGATGCGATGAAAGTTTCAAGAGTTGGCGGTAATCCATTCGATTCAGCAGAAACATTTTCAAAAACTACAACAACCAAAAAAAGAGAAAGGCTATTGTTATACTTATAAAGTACGTAAGTATTTCCAAATACCGGAACGTGCTGAGCCCATTAATGGCCGAACGTCTGTCATGATGAAAGCTCAATTGGCCTGACAATATAAAGAGCTCAAGTAAAAAGTGGGGAAAGGTATGAAGAGAGAGAAAAAAAAGAGAGAGAAGAAAGACAACAAAACCGCCAAGTCCAGCAGATTTCTTTTTTCTCATTCATTTTAGTTATGCTATGTTTGTAAGGTTACTATGGCAATCAGCTTCATCCACATAACCATACTCTTTCTAATAAACTCTCGTTCTCTCTTTCTGCTGGATATCATTGCGTCGTTTTTTGAACAAGTTTGACATGATAAGCTTGGAAGACACGAAAAAACATCTGGATATGTTAGCTCAAAGAATTATAGGAAGATGTTTGTGACGGGAAACCAAAAGATAAAACAAGCCAGGTTTGTCTAAGCAAATAAAAAAAAATTTTACTCGAATGTCGCTGGGGAAGGCGGAAAGAGAAACGAGTCACGCATATGATAGATTTTTGTTTTCAAACTATTTTTATCAACAGCTTACATTCCCTCTCGTTTTATATCCTGGAAGTTTTGCAAACGTGATCTCAGAGCGGTCCCGTTAATTTCTTAAACTAGCAACAGCCTGAGACTAACAGAGTTCTAAAAAAACAAACTTGTTTCTAAGCGACCTTCGGATTTGAAAAATCTGTTCTTTAAAATATAATGCCCATTGCTATTCTCGAAGACAATTCTATTAAAACTAATGTTGCTGAAGGAATTGATTGCTGGGTGTGGAAAAAATTTCGAAAAAAAAGAACAACCGATTCGAACATCTGATGAGAAGAAATGAAGTGTTTAACTTCCTAGCCCACAACATAATTTATGGACTTTTTCACGGTCAATTAGGACGGCGTGAGAAATGGTTCAAAGTAAAGTTAGAATCACCTGAAGAACGTAATCATCTCCTTCAAAGTTTTCGTCGTCTGATTCTTTTTCTCGACTGACGATGTCAACATCCTCTTCTTGTTTACATTCTTTCCCATACTTCACATGCACATTATCAGTTTTGAATGGACTCTCTTGGCTGTGCGGTATATGACTAACAGAATGGAAATGATTCGAAGCCAATTTCTTCAATTCATTCAGAGGAGAAACCTAGAACGGAAAAAGAAAATTATCAATCTATACGTTTGTTGAATTACCTTTGAAGAGTATAGATGTTGGGGACTTCCTCCACCCTCAATAGCAAAGGTTGATAAGTCACATCCCATAATAAGAAATCTTCGTAACTAGAAATATCCTAAAGAATATAATGAAATGAGAAAAACTAACAAAACAACCAAAAAAGTAATATGGCTTCTCTCTAAAATAGACTCCCGGAAACGACAATAGCAATTGTGGCTCTAGTAAAGCATGGCTCAATGCTTTTGACCGGAAAATGGGCAATACTTTTTTCAGTAGGTATTATGAACTTATAAGTAGAGAAACATTTATGAATCATCTGAACCATAAACTATTCAAAACTTCTGTATAGCTAATACTCACCAATTATCGTTTCTGAAACACAAGCTAGCCAACAATGGTAGTGGTACGCTTGTCATTGATGAAAAGAGTAAAATGTGTTACCATGGCAGCTTTAAAATTTCTTTTTAGGCTTTCAGTTTGAAAAATAAAGGAATGTTGAATCTCTCCACTCCTATAAAACATCAAGCTCTAATAACAATCATTCATAACAAATCTGAAGAAGAAAAAATTAATAAAGAATGTTTTGACAACATGATGAAGCTCGTCGACGTCAGTTTATGAATTTTTGAAGACTGTACTTGTTATTACAGAAATCTGTCCTCACGTCATGATACACCAAAAACCGTTTTATTTATCACTTTGTTTGTACCGTATACCCATCTGCCAGATGGATCTCATATACGTTTATCTCAGTTAATTCACCATCACATAGCATTGATTGAGATGTTTGAGAGAGCTCGGTAATCTGAAGATAATTTTTTCATAATGATAGCCTAGAATGGTCATATTAAACCCAAGTTATAAACAGAAATCTGAAATTGCTCTCTCTGAATCTTCGCATACTCTTCTTACAATGGATGGAAATCGCATAATTTTCAAGGAAATGAATTTTTCTTTTTCGTCTCAGTTTCTAGTCTCTCTGTGTCTCATTATGACATAGAGAGAGAGTGACATAGTTGAGAGATCGCAACATGAAGCCGCGCAACAAAGTGTTGTTTGAATACACATTGACACCCATACGATGTACGCTTCAAGAGAACCGGCGAAGTTTAAATTTGCCATAGAATCGGTGATAGTCAAGCCGTGATGTCTGATAAGTTACGTCTGAATGAATGTGATTACAAACTGTGCCTAATACAACCTGAGCGAAACTTTTGATCTCAATCTCGCAAGTTAGAAGAATTAGGATTATCTTATGACCGCAAATCCATTTCTACCATTTCTTTTGGAGAGAGCGGTTGTGTTATTGTGCGCTCCTTTGTAATTGTACTTTTTTAATAATACATATATTGATTATTGGGATGGTTTTGCTCTATAATCACACAGATTATATTGGATAGAAAGGAGTGGGATTCATACATGTCCGATGACACTTTTTTTCGGTTTCAAACCAATTAAACACAATGATTTAAGATAAAGATTTCTATCTTTTTTTGTTATATATTGTGTTCGATTTGTGGAACAACTGTTAAACTTGCAATCTTACACTGTCTGGTGGGGTTAGTCTACATGTTGTTCCGTACAAATAGAGTCATTATCATGAGCTGATATAATCGTCTGTTTTTGTTCATTGTGCTTCCTGAAAGTTTCACTCGAAATTTCGAATTTTTAAAGTCCGTCATATGTTATATGACTTTTGATCGTTTGTCATTCATTACAATCAATTCTTCCTCATGTCCTTGCACGTAGTATTCGTTCCTGCTTCAACCATTAGAATGTTCTCGAAGAGACAGAAAGTTTGAGATGAGAAATCGTTTGGTTGTGTGCAACCGATTGCAAAACAATAATGTTTGTAGAAATGGTGTTTCTTCACTTACTTCATGCCACGGCCTTGTATTCAACCAAATCGACTGCGAAGAAGAAACATATAGTATTTTGACAGGTCATCAAACTAATTTGATAGAAGTGATAGATAAGTGGATGATAAAAAATTTTTCGATATGTTATGTGTATGAAATGTTTTTTTGACTTTCAACACTATTTTCGTTATCAGGTGGCAAATCAGAGTGTCGCTTTGATTGTTTTCTCCAACTGTATTGCAACTCTCCCATAATAGCATTTGATATTGTCTTCAGTATGACTCTTACAGTCTCTCATTTGAGTTTTAAATCGATTGTGCTGTTTCGTCCATAACTGAAGTGTCTAGCTGAATTGATAGAAGAGACATTACGAAAGCTCTCCCATATTCAGAGCTCGCTTTTATCATTTTCATAATATTTATCAATAAATCAGCTATCATGTCGTCTAATCCATCATTTTTTCATTAGAAATTTTAAGTAGAAATAATGATTCGTCTTTGTGTTCGGCAACCTTTCGATCAACACATTAGTCAAAGTTTCAAGTTCTTGAAATATCTTCCTACTTCTTCTCTTAAATAAATCTTAAAGCAGAGCGTCTTCCACACAAAAAAAAGTTGGTTTTCGAACATGTGTCTTGACTAACGTTTCCTAATGTTTATCTTGTTAATTTATGATTTTGAAATGTCAGATTGTGTCCTTTGTTGGATTGTCCTTTCGATATTGTCAAAACAATAATGATTTGATAGGGAAGATTGATTTAAATATTCTTCTCTCATGCCCATCAAGTTTCCTGATTTCTCAGAGAATGTTCGTATCGGTCCTGTTTCCAATCACTTACCTTCTCATCCGCCGATCACTCTCTATCTATCAACTCTTTCAAATTGAATCTTTTTGTTTATTTTTTTTTACTCTATCAACTTGTACACATTGATTTAAATGACGAGGATGCTACTTCAATCGCCCCCAAGTTTTCCCTTTTTTTCCGTTTGACTAGTAGATGGCTGATATGATGAAACGTTGACAAACAGACCAGCTGACACCTTGAAATAGATATCTCAAGTTGAGTATTTGAAATTGGTTATGAAGAAGAGATTCGAATAAGTTTTATCAAACATATTCGCTGTCTTCTCTTTCGAATTTGCTTTTTAAAGCTTTTTTTTATGGGAAATTGTAGCAAATGATCATTGTTCTCTTCTCAAGCCGTTTTTGTCTAAACAGATACACAGACACACGCACATACACATTTACATGTAGTCCATCCTTGCTATCATGGAAGACTTCGTTTTTTTTTGTTTTACTTTCCGCCGACTTCCCCTTTCTTTCTTTCACTCAACGTTCTCTTCATAATGTCATCATCAGCCATCCTGTTGCATGTGGTTCTTCTCCAATTCCCTCCCTGACAATAGTTTTCAAACTTATGCGTTCAACTCGCTTTCATTTGAAACCTCGAATTATTTAAACGCTTGAATTACAATAAAATCCAAATCAAGCAATTCTTAACATGATTTCAGCCATTTCCAATTTGTCTTCTCTCGCTTTTGTTCTTGTTCGTGTGTGTCTTAATTTCCCTAACAAGGCCATCTCTACTATTGTCGATTCTCTCATCCTTCACCATCCTCAAGTTAGAAATTGATCAACTTGTTCTTTTCTTTTGCATGTCTTAGTCTCTTTAAACATTTGATTTGTTTAGTAAAACGCTCACCGTTATCCGATTCTCTGGGCCTGACCTTCCATCAACAAGAAGATGCTCTCTAAGGGTAAGTAGCAACGTGTAGTTCTTGAGCATCTCCCAAATTCTTGAAGTTTACATGAGATCAATAAACTTTCTAAAACATATGTTTCGATCTTGTTGAACAAAAAAATCGTAGATTGAAGATTTCAAAACGTTTTGGCCTCATTTGAACTCTTCTCGAGAGAGAGAGTTGATCCGATCTTTTTTCTGAACAACAAATTCACATTTTGATAAAGACATGTCCATGACATATTGATATAGTTTTTCACAAAGTATTTCTTACCCAGCATTTCGTTTAGGATGGGTAAAACTTCAGATTGAGCCAGTCGAAGTCACGATAGATAATGAGGAGTCACTCCTTTTTTCGACAGTTCAGTCAATCGTCCCAGGAGCACACGGTTTGTATTATCGTGAGAATGGCCAGAGAAAAGCTTTAGGGTTTGATTGAACACTGTAAACTCTCATACATAGTATTACAGCTTCGATACTACAACAGGCCGAGTGTTCGCACCTACAGATGGATGGCAGGCTCAGGATATTTATGTTCATCTAGGTACACCTTTTCAAAAATTTCTTCCGAACAAACTTCGAAATAATACTTGAACGAAACATTGATGGAAAGAATCAAAATCTGATTCTGATGACTCGTTTTCGAGATACAGAAGGTTGAAGATTCGATGATGTCACCATTGGCTCTCATCCAACTTAGGGTCCGACTCAGCCGTGAGGAGTTGGAGAGTCGATCTCGGCAAATGATCGAAACTGATCGAAATGCAACTTTTTTTTTCGAATTTCGTGAAACTTGGTGATCTTACTAATTCTGTTCTCAAACTTCTGAATATCAAATCAAAAATTGATTCTGATGACTCGTTTTCGAGATACAGAAGGTTGAAGATTCGGTGATGTCACCATTGGCTCTCATCCAACTTTGGGTCCGACTCAACCGTGAGGAGTTGGAGAGTCGATCTCGGCAAATGATCGAAACTGATCGAAATGCAACTTTTTTTTTCGAATTTCGTGAAACTTGGTGATCTTACTAATTCTGTTCTCAAACTTCTGAATATCAAATCAAAAATTGATTCTGATGACTCGTTTTCGAGATACAGAAGGTTGAAGATTCGGTGATGTCACCATTGGC